GCTGTACATACTCTTGTGCAGTTGCATACATACCATGGACCGGTGGGGGATATCCTGGTCCCCACGAGATGGAGTGCTCTCCACCCCACAACCCCCGATTCTGCAAGTGACGCACACAAACAACGTGGGGTTCGGGACCTCCAAAATGATGGCGGTCACATCTGCTCCAATTAAGCGAGACAAAATCCTGCCTACCTGGCAGGGCACTAACGAGAACAAGAGAGACCCGATAGACATCATCTTTGACAACTTTTGGGCTCAACTACAGGCACACATGCAGGTTGCTGGGCCGAGCCACATAAAGCCCGCTACACAAGCAGCCCCGGCGGAGGGGAGACATGGAATACCACCCTCAGACAATTGGGAACCCCGAGCCGCAACCTCCCGCACGGGGGACCCTCCTGGGCCGAGAGCGGCAGGGGATGTACCCTACACATGCCAGCCACACCAGCAGAGGGTAGCAGACTTTAAGCGATGGCAACCGCACCATCTATTCTCTCAGCCGCTTCAGCCTCAAACTCGAACACTGGGCGGCAAGAAACTGAGGGAGCAGAGAACCCCCTCGGGACTAACGTACATGAGTAAGCCTGCACCTAGTATCACTGGCCCACCTGGGCTGAGGGCCACCAAGGGCTTGACCCAAAGACATCGTCCACATGGCTGCGGGGACGGCCACCACAGAAGGCAGCAGACCATCAGGTCCTCACGGTACTCCCGCCATGGGAAGGACTCTGCTCATAGAGAAGCCTGGGTTCAGAGATGTCGGCCTTCATCCTGGCCTGGGGCTGGAGGGAGGACTTACCTCACACCCGACGAACTGCCTCCTCTGTACTCGCTCCTGCAACAAGAGCAAATGGCCAAACACTGGACCCAGGGCAAGGGCGTACCCCAAAGGAAGCTTGTTACCAGATCGCGTGTGGAGCCAGAGCGACCTACACGCCATCTCAGCGCAGATCTGGAGTCAGCTGAACCCGAATCGCACTGAGAGTTGCAGCCAGGATACAGTGCCCCAGTATGGGGAGAAGATCCTGGTACCATCACATGGACACTCAGTATATAAACTTTACCTTTCGCTTAACAGTTATCTCCCTTTACTTCTGAATGCTCTTACACATACCTACATCACAACCATGCTACCTAGAGCTTAAAATGTAAAACAAAAAGCGAGCCTAACTGTACACAAGCAACATGCATTAGGTCTGGTCTACTCCATTCATAAAGCATCTTAACAACACCACGTTTAGATGCCTAATACAGTTACTGTTCAATCTTGACTTAACCAAAAATATGTGCAATGTGCCTCTCTGTTACCAATGAATATAATACGTTAGAGGATTGCCGTTAGGGTACCTCATAAACTAATGTTATCTGCAATTGCACTGCAAAAAAAAAAATGTAAATGTGCTGGTCGATTTTTAAAAAATGTTTACAATTTAGAATTTTGGCAGAAACCTGGACCTTCTACATAGCAGATTTATTCCATTTACAACATGGGACACCCAGAATAACCGGGTGAGCTTCTAACCCCAATAAGAAGTATTTCACAGGACCAAAACCTCCATTAACCTGTTCAGTACATTTAAAAGGATTAGCAGTATAGACAAATAGTATTAGTGCAGCCAATAAGTTAATAAATGTTTTGTATTTACAGATCAAGAGAACTTGCCTCTGTGCGGGACGTTCCCAAGAAACCATCTTTTTTGTATCGCGTTTTGCGAGCGGCTTTTCCACTTCAGCTTTTACTTCTACTACTTTTGCTTCTGGCCTGTATGATCCCTTTCTCGGAAGAAGATTACAGTTGCACGCAGGCTAACAATTTCGCCCGATCTTTCTACCCAATGTTGAGATATATGAATGGACCGCCACCGACCTAACTTGCAAGACACAGGGGAACTGCGTGCATCTCAGGCCAGCTAAGGGACATCCCACAAGTTTATATTGAAATGTCGTCCAGGTTAAACCACCTTTTCTACCACCCACTGAGACTTCATTTTAAATGTTTTGTGACCCCACAAACTGGCCCGCTGGAGGCACATTGTTTGCATGCACATGGTAACTTTATATATACTGTACAATTCAGTGAATGATGACTTTGGCACTGCAGGTGTTTACGGACTACATTTCCCCAAAAGCTCTACTAGCCTTTAGGCATTTTGTAGTCCCATCTGCAGTGACAGGGTTAACCATTACTAGGGTAATCGGTGAGGGTTCAGAATTCTAGCCATGGTAAATATTTAGAACAAGCAATAATGTGTTCTCAATTTTATTTTACGTGTCTAAAGAATTGTATTTTATTGCATGGCCGTGATTTTTATTTTTTATTTATGTGGAATTTAAAGGTTAACTACAGTGTAAATTGGCACATCGTTCTCTACATAAGGACATTTATATTCCTATAATTAGATTCTGTACAGTATGATTTGTTTTTTTTATTGCAGGCATTAGGTTCTGTGTTGTACAGTCAAGTTTTTTTAAAATCCTACTTTTTAAGCCATCATGTGACCATTAAAGAGGGTACGTTTTTGGTTTAAAGGTCACAGCTGTTTCTAAGTGTTTGGCTGTGGATGATTTTCTATTCTCTAAAGTTGTATGGAATCCGCATAAGAATATTGTTAATCTCTTGGCAGGATGTTGAAATGTGTTTCAATAAACTAATGCCCTTTGTAACAATCTTGTTATATGTAGATTTTATATTTGGTTTCTTATTAAAACGAAGAAATTGGTTTAAACACACATTGGGGAGAATAGGCAATTAACTATAATCTTGCTCATATAAGCTCCTGTTTTTATGCAAATGTGCTAAAATATTTATTTTTATGGATCTCTCTCCCTGTACAATAGTAGAATTTCTTGTGTAAAAACTGGCTGGTGTAGAAATGTTACATAAGAAGCATATACTAGTGTACATTAATTTACATTTTAACGGAACATTCATAAAAAAAGAGTTGCAAGATTTAACACTGTATTATCATCAACGTGAAAAATGGGACAGTTTGCCAATAGTAATCAATGACATGTTCAGTAACTGGGTCAGTTATCAATATGTGAACGCCAGAAATACAATCGCTCAAGTAGCTGAATTAGAAAAACTATTAGTCTGCTATTTTGGCCTTAATTAAAACACATCAGTGTATAACCCTAAAAGTGTTAACCTAGTTTGCTTTTGTTTGTTTTTTACACATACACTCACACAAACACTCTCACTTTCTCTCTCACTCTCTCTCACTCACACACACACACACACTCTCTCTCTCTCTCACACACACACACTCTCTCTCACAGCCAGCAATCGATTTACACTGCCAGAGCGACTATTAAAACCCCAGAGGGGGAGAAATGCAAAGAACCAATATTAGTTAATAATGAACCTGAAAAGCACTGTATCACATTTGTCTTTTTAATGAAGACACATGCAGGACATCAAATCAGAAGCTACACCAAAACCACCCACAAATTCTGCCTCTAGAGCAGGGGTTTCCAAACCAGTCCTCGTGGAACCCCTACCAGTCCAGGATTTAGGGATCACTCTGTTGTGTCCAAGGTGTTTTTTTTTTCTTTCTAAAAACACCTTAGATACAACTGTGTAATCCCTGAATCCTGGACTGGTAGGGGTTCCACAAGGACTGGGTTGGGAACCCCTGCTCTAGAGACACAAAACCTTAGTTACTATTGTAAACAGGAAGAAAACTAATAGAATGAAGATACAATGTTTTTTTTTTGTTTTGTTTTTTTAAGAACAGTTTAACCCCGTAAGAGAAGGGTGTGGCCGGGGGTCTCCTGCACTATAACTTATTTTTTATTATGTTGTTATGGTGACCGGAGTGTCCCTTTAAAGGGACACTCCAGGCACCCAGACCACTTCTGCCAATTGGAGTGGTCTGGGTGCCAACTCCCACTACTCTTAACCTCGCAACTGTAATTATTGCAGTTTTTTCATAAACTGCAATAATTACCTTGCAGGGTTAACTCCACCTCTAGTGGCTGTCTTCAAGACAGCCACTCATTTCCCCATAGGAAAGCTAATGCGCATGCACGGCATTGCCTGCATGCGCATTAGGTCTCCCTGGCCGATGAGCAGGATCAGTCTCGTTTTAACCCCTTCAGCAACTGGGGATGGGAGGTGAGAGGGGACCTGCAGTGCCAGGAAAACGGATTGTTTTCCTGGCACTGGAGTTTCCAATTAACCCCTTACGCACCAAACTTCTGGAATAAAAGGGAATCATGACATGTCACACATGTCATGTGTCCTTAAGGGGTTAAGTACACAATTGCCACATTTAGTAATTGAAATAAAGGACTAATAAATCTACTTGGATAATATCCAGAGTTGCAAATGTTAAAGGAACACTATAGTCACCTAAATTACTTTAGCTAAATAAAGCAGTTTTATTGTATAGATCATTCCCCTGAAATTTCACTGCTCAATTCACTGTCATTTAGGAGTTAAATCACTTTGTTTCTGTTTATGCAGCCCTAGCCACACCTCCCCTGGCTATGATTGACAGAGCCTGCATGAAAAAAAAAACTGGTTTCACTTTCAAACAGATGTAATTTACCTTAAATAATTGTATCTCAATCTCTAAATTGAACTTTAATCACATACAGGAGGCTCTTGCAGGGTCTAGCAAGCTATTAACATAGCAGGGGATAAGAAAATCTTAATTAAACAGAACTTGCAATAAAGAAAGCCTAAATAGGGCTCTCTTTACAGGAAGTGTTTATGGAAGGCTGTGCAAGTCACATGCAGGGAGGTGTGACTAGGGTTCATAAACAAAGGGATTTAACTCCTAAATGGCAGAGGATTGAGCAGTGAGGCTGCAGGGGCATGTTCTATACACCAAAACTGCTTCATTAAGCAAAAGTTGTTCAGGTGACTATAGTGTCCCTTTAATCTAAAATAGAGGACAAATAGCAATGTATGTAAAAGTTAGTAACTTTAGACTAATTATGTAATTGACTGGCTTTGTAACTGACCCTATCAATATTAATACAATGGCCAAGCTGTGACTAGCTTAGCTAGAGAACCGTAAAGCCACGATTTAGCCAGGATAACGTGACTGTGTGACATGCCTTGTTATCCAGAAACAAGCCAATTTACATATGGTTATAGAAAACCAGACGTTACTCAGAGGAAACTGGATTGGATTTAAAGCCCAAATCATTTTATAACCACCTGACTTACAGAAAATAGTGATGGATTATTTAAAAGATATAATATACCATTTACGATCGTAATTTTCATTCGATCACCACATCCTGCTTGCAACACTTGAAAATGTGATTCTTATTCCCTTGACACCTAGACCTGGGTTAGTCTAAAAATAAAGTTTTATCCTAGAATTTGAACAAAACAGTAAGTCTCCTTCCTAATCCGTGACAATTACTGCAAATGTACAAGAACATTTTGTTTTGAAATATCCCTGACCATATGTTAGAGGTTTAACCTGCTACAAGTAACAATAATGCACTCAGCTCAGGGCAAGCAACATCGATTGTATCCCTTACACATTTATAGAAAGGAAAAGCTATATACTCTGTCTTATTTTCTGGTGCTTAAAAAAAAAATAAACATTAAGCATAACTCTACAGATCAAGGTTTGACCATTATTTCAGACACCCACGTTTTCAGGAGAATTCTTTTATTTACAAAGATAAATGTGATAATGATGTCAATGTGATCAATTTGAAACTCCAACCAAGACCTTAATTCTGCTAAATTGATACCCTGGTAGGTGCAACCTTCATACCAACCTCACAACACAGCTTCGTGGACATTTAAAGGGTGATTAAGACAAATATGTTCTTGTAAGAATACAAATAGCAGTTTTCAAAATGTATGAAAGTAGAGCATGAAGGGTAGTAACTTTCAGCTACATCTAAAAGAGAGCACAACCTCTCAAACATCCTCTATGACCTATGGCAAGGAAGGATCTGTTATATCCAATGGCTCCACACGTACCCCAATAAATATCAAGTTCTACTTAAATGTCTTACTTCCTCTTTACAGGAACATCTATTGATGGTTCAATGAAAAGCCACTCTAAGTGACATATTACAGCTTGATGTAGTGGGGATGTTGGTTAGTGTCCTGATGCACAGGGCTTTTCCTGGAAAACTGACAACGTGTGTCTCAAACACACTAGTACTGCAAAATTAACACGGCTACATTCTCAATTTCATCCTAACTGGACAGCTGTGATTTGCTGAGAGTACTGGGAGCAAATTAGCCCATCAATGCCGTGTGACGTGTATGTTGCACAAAGTTGACATTGCGAGTACAAGATATAACATTAAATTGCCTCTCACATTGTCACACTACATTTACACAAAAACTACCTACCAAGAAAAAATGAGTGCGAAATACATGTGATAAGATACAATATACATTGCAGAAGGGAAGTTAGGGAAAATATTTGATACCAATGCATTACTTTCCAAATGACTGAAACGTAAGGTTTCCCCCTACTAAATACTTCAGACATCTTTTCAGGACCATGTTTGGCGCTTTTCAAACCCTCCCCCTCGGACAGTTTTACTCAGGTTTCACCCAAGAGTTTTAGTAAATAAAAGGTAGCATTTCCAGGTTTCTTACTGCTGTTACTTTTTGGACCTTGAAAGGTTTTACACATACAAATAAGAACACAACACAGCGAGACAAGTATAGGCAAGTCATTGTACTTTCTCCAGTATCCTTTTTAGTCATGGAATATAAGGATTTACTGTTGTCAAAAAGCCAAGACTGTATTTATTTTAAGGTGGCAACGAGGTTATCAAGTGAATTAACATACAATGGGGCACGAAAGTTTAGGATGCCAACAATGTCAGATCAAAGAGTCAAAAATGACATCACCTTTCCTTAACCGCCCCTTTTGTTTTATCTTAGGATACTTTAGTTTGATCAGCCAACATCTCGAGCCAGCTCCGTATAAAACACTTGTGTTAAGCAGAAGATGGCATTAGGTATTTTAAATTGTGCCTATTACCACATCAAAAACAATGTCTTGGCATGTGTAGGTAACATTATCATGATGCATGGACCTGCTGGAAGAAAAATGTTGGTTTTTCCATAAAAATGTGCCAAATGTTCCCACAAACTGCCAAAATGTTCAGGATTAGAATGTAGCTCTTGATTTACGGATAAATACAGTGAAAAAAAAAAAAGTGTCCAACGAAAAAGCCTTTTAATGCCTCAACACATCACAGTTTGCGTTTGTATTTTAAATTATCGTCTACACATTTCTGTAATCAAAACAGCATGCAAAACGTGATACTTTGATAAAAAGGCACCATCTTTGTATACAAAGTACATATACGTTGAAATAAGATGTGGAATGGGTATACATCAAGATTTTTAGAAAAAAAAAAAAATCATCCAGAAAAACAATGCATAAACTAGTTAATAAACAGTTTTTCTCTCCAAAACAGCAAGCTTATATATAGAACACATTGTTCCATAGAATAGAGGTATATTTATCACAGCGGTGTGAGATGTTCCAATGAAAAAGGTCCAGGATACATTGTATGGTTTTAAAGGTTACGGATGATAGAATGTTTCTTCTACAAACAGATTCCGCTGCTAAATACAATGCACCTCAGTGATAATTCAGGCTACTGCCTGCCAAGTGGCGGAAATGCTTTCAACAAAGATTACCTGCTTAACAGACTTTATGCAATACTAGATTGAAACCGTGAAGATTGCTGCCAAATGGAAAGAGGCAAAATGTTCAAGCAATATTTAAAAAAAAAATAAAAAAAATACAGCACACATTTTTTTTAAAACCATTTACAAAATTTCAAAATAATTTAAAGCTATATTATTTTAGATTTATGATTATTTATCTTAAAAAAAAAGAAAATGTCGAATCCCTATTCAAAAGGTTTCTATGACCTCAATTTAAGAGGCACACTCCAGACTTGACACTAGCATGCTTACTGTTGACTAAGGGAGCTATTTTATTATTTTTTAATCAAATTGCAAAATTTACAAGGTGTTTTTAAATTTAAAAAATATATAGAATGAATTGGATTAATTGTAAGAAAGAAAATAAATAATACAACTCAATTTGTGATTCCATTTCCCCCTTCTCCAGATTGACAATCGTGTCCAAAATTTTCTAAATTAGTTTAAAGTTCACCCAGGGCATTCAGATACCAGACTTGCTATCCTAACAGCTGCAGACACAGTGTATGCCTCTGTTGACAACATTAGAAAAATATCTAATTGTATTGTCTGCAAAAATAAACTCAGACAAACATTGGTAAGTCAGCAGAGAAGAACGTACAAGAATAACCAGGATGGTGCTCTACCGGATTGCTTTGTGCTATAACAAGGGGAAGGTTATGATTGTCATGGAAGATCATTTGTGCTTCTCTGTAAGAGGTATTGGTGTGTCCCTATGTATCTCTATGCGAAGCATCTGATAGGGCAAATTATTGGTAATGATTCTCCTGGGGCTGGAATAAAAGGTTAATTTAAATTATATTAACCCCTTTTTAGTGCTGACATGAGGAGGCAGTAACGAAAAGAACACTGAGCACCAGTCTCAGCAATGTACTGCCTTTTTCTGAGAAACCGGTTTCCATTAGCCCTTCAAAATTTAAATAATATAAAAAATGTGGGCATTCGTTTTTATCTAAATTTTCAGCAATTCATCCAAAGGACGAATACAAATTGCAACAAATGAAACAAAGTACAAATTGCTTGCTGGATGAAATGCCATCCATGCAATTTGCTCCTAGTTTGTTGTTTTAGTTTATTAGAAGGAGGGAAATCACCCCATGAACCCTCTCATACTTTGGGGGTCAGTTAGTATAAGGGAAGTTAAATATTCCCGCCAGTGCTGCAAGTAGGGGTATGTCTACTAAACAGCGAGCCGCCATTGGCGGCAGCCCTAAATCAAAAGCCCAACCAATCAGAGTGGTCTGACTCAAATTGCAGGGCATGGAAAGATTTTATAAGACTTTTTCCCACACTGCAAGCTCAAATCTGGGCAGAGCCCTCACGGGTTGAAAGTGTTTTTTGTTTATTTTTTGTGATTGAGTCCTTTTTTATTTTAATACACGTGACAATTTTTATTTTACATTTTTCGGTTGAAGAAAATAAGATAGAAGAAAAAAATAGTAATCTAATGGTAAATGGAATTGTTTTATTTAGAAGGTATTTAGTTTATAGTCTTCCCCTATTATCCCCTAAGGACACAGTCTCAGAAATAAAAGGGAATCATGACGGAATATTTCCGTCGTGTCCTTAAGGGGTTATTAGGGCGAGGGGGTAGATAAGGAATCTTTTAGGGGGAGTGACTAGAGGCTTTGTGACCTCTTGTCATGGAGGGTGCAATTTGTTTATATTACTAGCCCCCCACCACCGCGATGGATGGTGCACCCTTTATTATTTAGAACCACACCCACCGCCAATGGGTGGGGGCTGGGGGACATTATGGCTTACATGAAGAGGGCCAATGGTACTGCTGGTTGATTGCAAATAGCCTGCCTTTTCACACAAACAGCCTGTTTCCATTCAAACAGTAAGAAGAGCTTATTTTATTAGCTCACAGTATTGTCAGCTTACCAGGCTGAAACCTTTGGATTTTTACCTTCCGTCCATGGAGGCCCAGAGGACTTCTACAACTCAACCCATAGGCAACAGGCCACAACCTAAAGAGAAATTGCAAAACGTCTAATTAATAGATTCTTATTGGGGAATCTACGCTCTAATAATACCGCTGATAATGTGCCAGGATATTTTTTTACTTTGTTTTTCCATTACCCTTCTTTTTCTGCAACAGGGATTTCCAAAAAGACAGTAAAGACCCAAAGCTGCTGGCCAGTGTCAAGACTCACCTCCCATTCCACAATCGTTTCATGGTGTCTTCACTTGCTCCAACTTCCTCATTCATGTGACCACACCTCTGCTTAACATGCCATAACTTCATTGTTAAAAGACAGCCTGATCGGTGATTATGTTGCTACTGAATGCTGCAGTACTTTTTCCTGAGCTCATTCTGCTATATTCAGTTATTACCTACTTTGCAAGTATAAGCAGTTACGGTGCCTTTATCGACCCCGAATTTAAATTGGATTTACCTTGAATTTCTGCAAAGCAAATTTGTTGCTCAAACTGGACTTCAACTATTGTAAACCCTTCTGCAGTCAAACAACTCCTGCAACATACTCCTCTTAAACAACATCATCACTACAAGTAAGTTATTTAATCAGTCTTAGACACAATCACATATACCTTACTGCAGCGTTTCCCAAACCAGTCCTCAAGACCCACCAACAGTCCAGGTTTTGTCAGTATCTCCATTGGAATAAAACAGGAAAATACATAAATCCTGGACTGTTGGTGGGCCATGAGGACTGGGTTGGGAACCACTGCCTTACTGCATTCACCCCGAACAAGTTGGTTCTGGTCTGGGTACTGAACACAGAGATAATACACAATATAATCTATGGATCCATGCTGCGAAGATGCAGGTTAAATTTAGTGTATATGAAAATAATCTGCTCTTAATTATTACCCAAGCAATATCCATGTTATCTGATGTCATGTCAGAATATTAGCAATATCGCCAACTGGACAATCTTAAAATCAATCTGACAAGATTCTAAATCCTAAACACATTGCCCCTCTACAAACAAATTCAACTATTTGACTGATGTGATAACCACATGAAGTAGGGAGCACCCAGAACTTGCAGATCGTCCTTTATTGTATTGTAATAATTTTACAATGAGCTTTTCTGAACTTTTGAAAATTCAAAAAATGTCTTATTTGTGTAAGAAGTAGATGTTTTTGGCAAAGAAAGACTGTCAACAATTTTTAGACAAGATAACGAAGCCATGGGGGCTTGTGACAGTCAGGTTTTATATGTTAGAGGTATAGCCACCAGAGAGCAGAATGACTGATAGGGGATACTTCAAGAGAAACCCATCTGGGGTGAAAAGCGCTTTTCCTGCAATTAATATTGTTGAACGAACTTTGATCTACATTTTATTCTTTAGAATTACTTTGGGGGGGGATATGAAAGCATGTTAGAAAAGTGTGCATGTTGAGAGAATATTTTGTGGACGTGGTTTGTTATCACTTAGTAGCTGTGTTCGTTTCTGCCAATCACTCAGACATCATGAACGGTTTAGGAAACCGTGTAATTAACAATGTGTGTATGTAATGTATAGCCAGCTTACATTTGCCCATTTTTAGCCAATGAACAGTACACCATTATTAAATGTAACTACGTATCTAACTATTGTCAGGGGAAACAAGCGCAGTCAATTCTGCATTAAATCCATCCTGTTGAAATTGATAATTGGTCTTTATTCTATATTAAATTAAACAAGTTTCTGTACCTGCTACCGACTTTGTAGTTAACCAGAAGCAGGGTGGGATATATGTGTGTGTATATATATATATAATTATTTATTTTAAATTGGGGGGCTCGTCCGGGATCGCTACATCGCATATTTTCATTTCTGTATTGCGTTAAAGAAGCTACTGAACTTGGAACTCTGTTTTGGTATTGTGACTTAACAGAAGTGGAAGAAAGCCAACACCCTTTTTTTTGTTTATTTCAACACCTCCATATATCATATACCCCCTCTTACTTCCCCCCCACCCCCAAAAAAAATAAATAAATAACCGCTTGTATTCATAATTGGTTGCTGTGCTATCAAATGCATGCTTGTAGTTTTCACACCTGGGGTGTCCCTTTAAAATGCACTTTTATTTTATTTTTTTATCTTTAGATACAGTAAAAAAATTTTAAAATAAAGCTGGCCTGTGAGGTGGATGGATTATCTTGGCTAACACAGATTTAGACAGATTTGTGAACAATATTTGTGAGAAATAGGCCTTTTGTGTACATAGAAAAAGTCTTAGATCTTTGAGTTCAGATCATGAAAAATGTGTTGCGATTAGAATTTTTTGTTCAGTGTATAGGTGTGTGTGTGTGTGTATATATATATATATAAACGAAAATAAAGAGTACACCTTTCAACGCACCCATATTTTGGCAAAATTTGGGCAATACATCCAACATTACTACCGCTTTGTGGATGATCTTTTTATGATCTGGACAGGCACGATTATGGACCTGGAGCAAATGATTAAGGAGATCAATCAGTCACCAATACCAGTTGTTTTGAGTCATCAAATTGATGAACAGTCAATTCAATTTCTGGATTTTACCATCTATGACAAGGCTGTCCAACCTGCGGCCCCCCAGATGTTGCTGAAATACAACTCCCATGATTCCCTGCCTGTTTAATTGAAAGAATCATGGGAGTTGTAGTTCAGCAACATCTGGGGGGCCGCAGGTTGGACAGCCCTGATCTATAAGAAAGTAAACAATTTGGAATTTACTTTGTATCGTAAAAATACTGATCGTAACACCCTCCTCTCCGCCTCAAGTTTTCATTCACAACAACTTAAAAAATCATTACCAATTTCTCAATTTTTGAGAACATTGAGATATAATACGGAAGCAGAAAAACTTAAAATTGAACTTGACGAGATGTGGGATAGATTTAGTGTACGTGGTTATCATCCACATATCCTTCAAGCGGCACAGACCAAAGCTTTGGAAATATGGAATCGAGAAAAACGGAATGATAAAACAGCGAAGGCACTGAAAGAACCGAAAATTTATCTTCCCATGACCTTTCATACAAGCACGTTGAAAGTAAGACAATCCAAAAAAAAACAAAACACTGGGACATATTACGATCAGACAAGTCATTACCTAATATATTTGTGGATACTCCAGTCATCCGTTACAGAAGAAATAAAAATGTAAAAGATCTTCTGGTGAAAAGTGATCCGATAATCTGCTACCGCAAACCGGAGATGATCACCAAGAAAGGCTGCTACAAATGTAGCGGATGCGTGACGTGCAGTCACATGGTCAGTAGTACGACTTTCGTTCATCCCCACAGTGGTCAGAGAATTTAAATATCAGATTATATTATCTGTACCACTGACCATGTGATATACATGATCACATGCCCCTGCGGACTCTCGTATGTGGGCAAGACTGATTTGACATTAAGAGAACGCATAAGGGGACATCGGTCGACCATAACTACAGCCTTCAGGGATCAACGCAGCGACAAGCCAGTTGCTAAACATTTTTTACAAATGCAACACAGACTTCCTACGTTACATTTTATGGCCATTGACCATGTCCCCCCCCGATGCCCACAGGAGGCGACCGATCGAAGAGGCTACTCCAGTGTGAGGCACAATGGATTCACTGGTTAGATACAGTGACACCGAGAGGACTCAATGAGAATATTGTGCTCTCCATGTTTCTTTCTTTATTTTTAACTAGCACTTGTCATAATTATTTTTTATTATATTTTCTCATTTCTTCATTTTTTCTCTTTTTTTCCATTGGTTATCCTTTCATATATTTTCTCATATTTGTTTTAAAATTTCTTTCAGTTACAATTGTATTTTCTGATTTATATTCTGAATATGGTTTTTCTTTTGATAGCTTTAGTCTGAATATAGTGAGCCTCTATAATTGCACTGAATTCAACTACTTACATAGAATGTACCTTATTTTGATGCTTTATGCATTTAGATCTATCTGTTCTGTGTTAATGTCTCTCTCTTTATTATATAAATGGAGATATTAGTCACTTTCCATTCTTTCATATATATGGCCTGCCTTAGTTATCTCCAGCTGCAGTTCCCTTCATTTGCATGTCCATGGTCCCATCCTGATTTTTGAGCTTTAATTCTCCTCTCTAATGTGATTATTTTGTAATTATATAATATCTTTTTTTTTAATCTTGTTATGGTATGTGAAATGTTTTTAACACACTTCTCCTTTTGCTGCCCTTTCACTGGGTACACAGTGACACTTTTCATAGTTTATATGTCAGCATGATTTCTTGCACTCCTTTTTTTACATTTTTGTCGCTTTATGCACATTGCACTTTTAACACACTCACTGTGACAGCATATACACTCTTTCTTAGGAGTACATTCATCTTGCATTTCACTTGCACACCCGGCATACACTTTTGAGACCATTATACCAAATAATTGTGCTTGTTTATCGGTATCTTAGCAACACTACGTCACCACGCATACCACGGTGCACCACGTGACTGTGGGTTCTCACTTCCGCTTACACTTTGGGTTCGCACGAAGCGATTCAGGGGTTTCTTCACGAATGGCGAATGGTGAGTACATTATTCTATTTCATATATATACTTAGATACATTGACCTTGAGGAAGACTTGAATGGGTCGAAACGTTGGTTAATTTTTTATGTTATACCTACTGTAATAAATCCCCCTTTTTTCCCACTTGTTAAGTCCTCAGAGTGCATCTCTTTATTTTTGTTTATATATTTCTTCAACGTGGGATTGCACCTAGGCAAAAAATTGGATGATTTGGATGAAAGGGTGAGTGCCAAGAATTATCTTTTTTGTGTGTGTATGTATGTATGTATGTGTATATACATACATACACACATATACAAATACACACATAATTCTTGGCACTCATCCTTTCATACAAATCATCCAATTTTATATATAACCCTCTGGATTGACAGAAAATAAAGAATAACGTTTGGAAAAAAAGCCCAGAGTGCCGGTATTTTTCCATTTTTTTTTAATATTATTATACTGACTTGGCACCAGGGTATAGCATTTTGACAGTAGGAGTACAGTAGTTCTATTTTTTGATTATTTATATATATATATTTTAATTTTTTTTATTATTTTTTGGGTGATATAAAAAAAAAAATGCAAAGCAATCTACTAGATACATTTAGCCTAAAACATCTTCTTTTGCAATTTATTTGTCCAGAATAATTCAGGCATTTGACAATAAAGAGAAAACAGCTCAGATACTTAATAACTGGGCAGAATTTTTGAAAATGATCTTTGAATTGCTATATCAGAGTGACAATGCTATGACTAAGGTAGAGTTTTTTGTTTGTTTTTTTGTGAACACAAATATTTCAGAGCTTACTGTGCAGATTGAAAGTTATTCTTCTGAAATAACATGCCCAGTTATCAAATTGATGCATTAATTCAGCACATCAATAGAATTACACCGCTTTTGATTGCTCAATCTACTAATCATTTTTTCATATACACAAGGTTTTGCGACATATGTTGTAATCCCTGTGTGTGCTACGGCAATATAACACTTCATATGAGACAGATAGCATGAGCCAGTAGGGAGATGAAAAGATCTTTAAGCTTGGCCCTGTGCACCCTCACTTCATTAAGGAAGTGTTGTGGTCTGCACCTCTATTGGGTGCAGAATACTTGAAATGCTCCTTTATGATTACCTAAGTAATTGACTCAGAGGGAGCTGATAAAGTAATCTGCCCTCTATATTGGTGTAGACCACAATGCTCCCCTCAATGGACCACCAGGGATCCAGCTCCCTAGCGTGCTTCCATTGTATTACCACAGATAACAACAAAAGTTAAGCACTAAAAGATCCACTGTTTCTGCATAATGGAAATATTCCATCATGGATCCATAAGGGTAGAACAACCATGATTGAATAATTTAATCACGCATTGCGAATGGGTCAATGGTATAAATATTCACAATCCCATCACTGCCATGTGATTGAAGAGAGTCCAGATTCCTTTGAGGTTCATTGTGGAAGTAGTCAAATTTCAAAGATCATTCAAATGGCCTATCTGGGCCAGGCCGAGGATGAAAATGTTCCACAAATCCCACCAGACAGGATAAAGGATGTCTGTCTTCAAGCAGATGGTCTAACGATCGGTCTGCACAAAGACTACTTAGGAGATTAATAATTATGGTCCAAGTGACCAATTTCAGTTTTTAACACAATTTCTGATCGTTCTCTCTCTTGATGACCCTTGGAAAACTAAACAGGCCAAGCTCTATTTAAAGGACAACTAGAGGCACTACTTCAGATCAATGAAGTGGACTGGGTGCAGTGGCCCTTTTTGTTTTAACCTTACAATTTAAAATATTGCCATTTAGTAGCTACCAAAAAGTTATGAATGCAGGATTAAACGTACCTCTAGTGGCTGTCTTTCTAACAGCGCTTCTGCCTCAACCAAGTCAAACTCTGTTATTCAATCAAATGCAGCTTACAGAGGGTATACACACTAGCTTCTCTATGGGGAAGAATTGGATTGACTAAATTCATCAATCTAGATAATCTCAGCCTGTGAGATGCGGTAAGAGCAGGCCTCCACTAAATGGGTAGGGTAACACTATTAGCTTTAGGAATAGAAGTTTGCATTCCTTTAAGGAAGAAGTTAAGCTACATCAGTAATTATTTATAAAAACAGGCAGCTGATCCTCATAGCATATATATCTATCTCTATCGCAAAACTGTAAATAACTTATCCAGTTATTATAAGAAAACTAAAGGACATTCTAGAATGCCTGATCTTGATAAAGAGGGATTGGCATTATCAAATGTGTCATTCATATTGATACAAAGAAAGTTGAGGTGTACCAAGAACATTTATCCACAACATCCTGAAACCTTCTAACAAGATACCTATTAAGATTGCAACAAATAATTCTCCTAAAACAACCTGTTGCGGTAATATATATAAAATATTCTATTTAAAATAAAATAACTTCTAAATAGCGTAACGTTTGGTCTAATGGAAACTATGATGGTTATTCACTAAAATGAGAATTCAAATTTAAGTTCAAAATAGGAGAAAAAAAAATCAACTATGCTTCCAGTTTGTCTAATTTGGCCTTAAAATTTTCAATAAGTGAATAACCCTATATTATTTTTTTATATTTTATTTTTCTCTCAGAAATAAATCAATAAATGTATTGTTCTTTATTATGGCTGTATTTTAAATGACAAAGTTTGAATTAAAAGCTTTTCCACATTTCCTCTTGATTTGATCCTGCCTTGCAAAAGAAGTTTGTCTTTAGATCAGGCTTTTGGTGTCTGGAGTAAGAACAGTCATACAGAGGCAAAGCCTTCATAAAAAAACAAAATCAAGTATTTTTACTGCTAATCAATTTCAGTAGCTGTATTGATACTTTGTGCTGTAATGTTTTGTTGGTCGTACATGGTAAGTTTGATTTGTGTCTGTATTTATTTAGGATAGATGTTTTTATACAATATTATTTTTGTAATAAGACTATAGATTGCACAGTTATGCAGATATATACCTAAACTTTATCAATTAAAAAAAGGATTGGGTAACATCAGGAACTCATTCATAATATGCAAAACTCATTCCGCAAAACATTTTTCTTTAATTATTTAAATTTTCTTTAATTATTGCAATAAATGTACAATTGTGTTTTACAATAAAAGTTCAGACAAATATTCTATACAAATTACACAAAACTTTAAATGTTCTGT